TGATTGACCAGTTTGCGACAGTGAAATCAAGAAAAATTAATCTTTCGTAGACTATGTCAACCAGTCTACGACAGTGACTGAGTGAGCCATGCAATATAATTTCTATAAATTTGCTTTTTAAATACAATGTTTCATTAAAATTTTAATTGTTATTCCTTATTCGATGTAATAGGAAAATGTGATTAAACGGGGGGGGGGGGGCGCCAATTTTATAGTTCGTCCCCGGGCGCAAAATATCCTAGCTACGCCTCTGCTCAGCCTCAAATAAGTACCTGGTGCGGTGTGTAAACATCGCCACTGGGGAGACAAAGGCGGCCGGGCGTGGCGCTGACCACAGACCCTCCCTCGTGTGCCGTTCCGGCCTTCATAGGTACTTGCTTACAGCCCTTGCCTCAAAAGTATGTTAGGGCTCTACGGGGGGTCTCTGTCTGTGTATTGTGTTTAGTTAACCCACGAGGCGCCGGGTGTGTGCGGGTGCGTGTGGTCTTGACTCGCTGTGTGTGGAGCGGTGGCGCAGTGGTTAGCGTACTGCGCTACAAGCCCTGCGTCGGCAGTGGCTGCCCATCACGTGCTCACTTTCCCAGTCTAACAGGGACCCGGAAAACATTGAGTGAGAAATAAAGCCCTGCGTATGCCCCTGTGTCTGTATGACCCACAATATGTATGACCCCCAATGTGTATGAACCTTTATCTGTATAATTATGCGTATGACGCTACGTGTCTGAACGACCCCGTGTCTGTACGACCATGTATATGATCCCGTGTCTGAATGACCCCGTGTCTGTATGACCTCATGTTTGTACGGCCATGTGTATGACCCCGTGTCTGAATGACCCCGTGTCTGCACGACCATGTGTATGACCCCACGTGTCTAGATGACCCCGTGCCGTCACCGATCACCCCCCACCCACCCCCACCCACCTCCACTGCCCCCCGGTACACACGAGGCTGATGCTTCCGGTCGCCCTGTGGTTGAATTTGAATGCTCATCATGAGACGTCTTCTTCTATCCCCCCCCCCCACCTCGCCGGCCTGAGGAACGAGGCACGGGGATGCACTGTCCACGCAGGCGATCGATAGACCTATACATGTCCACAGCGCGTTATGTGGACATACACACGCGCGCGCACACGTACGAATATAAAAAGCTAACGGGGCCGCTTGGATAATTAATGAGATAGAGGGGTTGGATACAGCAGGGTAGGGAACCCACTTGGGGAAAGTGGGGATGAGAATAATTTGTAAATCCTCCCCTATAAAAATACATGTGTGGGTGTATATATATGTGTCTACGTGGGGAGCGGTGGTGTATCGGTTAGCGCGCTGTGCTACGAATCTGGCGACACGGGTTCGATTCTCGCTCACGGCCAACACCGGTGACGATTATTTGAACCGGTTGTGGGCCTCCCCTAGGTCGACCTTGTGCGGTGTGTAAAAACATCGCCACTGGGGAGACAAAGGCGGCCGGGCGTGGTGTTGGCCACCCACCACCTCGTGTGCCGTGCCGGCCTTCATAGGTGTCCGCTAACAGCACTTTCCCTAACAGTCTGTTCTAAACCATACGGGGGATCTTTGTCTTTGTATATATATACAGTGCGTGCGTGTTCAAAACGGCGAGGAGCATATACGTGGGCGCATAGATGGTACAGCACAACAATACACTGTGCTGCCCTGGCCTCTGCTGCCCAACACGTAGCCCTCGCAAGCCTCCTAGCTCCCATTGTTGGTTGACCCCAGGTCACCGTTGTAAAAGATCATCTATCATGCTATCTCGTGAGTGCTCACCTGGTTAAACAAATGAAGTTGAAGCTTGAAACTATAACAAGCTGATTCGTAATTAATTTGTTTGGGGTGAGATCGCGGAGGTATGAAAATTACTCTTCATATTATTGGTTCTTTCGGTAAAGTCACGTAGATAGAAATTCTAAATTAAATGTAAAAATAAATTGAAAATGAAAGCAAAAAAAACACGACGTTTCGATCGCAACACAAGCGGTCTTCATCAGGCGATCGAAACGTCGTGTTTTTTTTTTTGCTTTTAATTTTCATTAAAATTGTTAATTTTAATTTTATTTGTATTTTGTATCTACGTGACTTTACCGAAAGAACCAAGAGTATGAATTCCTGCAGTCAAAAAATGAAAATGATTTTTTTACTATAACCCTCCACCCAGCGACAAAGCCAATCCAATAAAGTTGTCACGTGCGAGCAATATTCTGACAAAAAAAAAATTTCCTGCTTTTTAGCATTTCAGTTTTGGTGACAAACCAAATCAATTTGGCAAATTTGTTCGCGTGACAACTCGATTTCATTGGCTCTATGGGGTAGTGGAGGATCATCTTCTTTTATGACATGATACCTACGAGACGATCTAACTGAAAATAAACGAATTATGAATAACATTGGTCGTGAAGGCCTTAGCATGCGACTTTAACAACTTGTTTAGCCGTCGTGGTCACCAATCGAAACACTCGCCAGGCTCAACACGTGGGAAAACAAGCAGTGTATATACATTAAAAAGCGTATGAGGGACGTGTGCCACAATTATAGCGTGCATCCGAAGAAAATCGGAAATTCTCAGCCTCGCAACGAAATTACGAATTCATTCAAAAATGTGACGTCACAGTCTCGTTTTTGCAGCTTTTGCCAAAGAATGGTGGCACGTGACATCGAGTGACGACGTCACAATGGTTAGCACCATAACATGGCAAATTGTTACGGGCTATATACTGTAAGGGTTCCTAAAATCCGGGCGAGGGAGGGAGGAAAGATGCGAAATTGTTCTTAGTAAGAATTTTTTTTCTTCTGAATTTCTAAATCACACATTCATTCCTGATGGAAATATCTAGAAGAAAAAAAACAAATATCCGAATCATTTTTGTTTTCATACAAAACGTATCCTTCTTTCACACGTAACCCCCCCCCCCCCCCCCCCCCCCAAATCCGGTCAGCTCCCCATGCGAAACACGTGAAACAGTGGCTGGATCTCTTAGAAAATACAACTCCCGTAGTGGCGATGGAATATCTAACACAACCCTAGCACCACTTCCACCCCCCCCCCCCCCATTCTTTAAAATACGTCTGTCAACCCGTCTACGCTCTGTCTATCTCTCTCGATCTGTCAGTCTCTAGTGATGATAATAATAGTAATACTACTACGACTACGCGCTGTCTATCTCCATTATTTATCGTGACGAATGTACCAGCGTGAAGTCACTACGCTCGCTGCCGCTGCATTTCGAGGAGAGGTTTCTAGGCGCCCCTCGCTCGCCTTCAAGTAACGACACGAGCACTGCTGCTAACATCGCCTGCACAGATTAAATAGCCCGCCGATGTGTACGACGCGTGGCGCACACGTGCGGGAGTGTATTTTGTGAGTGTGGCGGTTGTGGGGAGCGGTGGCGCAGCAGTTAGCACACTGCGCGATATAAATAAATAAAAACGTCGGCCCGAGTCCGATTCACTCGTACGGGTGCTGTAATAAACAGTGGCGAATCCTGGAACCGATCCTGGGCATCTCCTGTGTCACCACTGGGGAGACAAAGGCGGTCGAGCGTGGTGATGTGATAGGCCATACCGCCCGCCCCCTCGTGTGCTGTGCTGACTCTCAAAGATGCTCGCTAACAGCACTTGCCTCAACAGTCTGTGAAGGCTATACGGGGGGTATTTGTGTTTTGGTGCATCTGTGTGTGTGTCCTTTGTCTTTGTGTGTGTGTTGTGTGCGTGATTGTGTGTTTCGTCACGTGTGATTGTGTACGTGTGTTTGCCCGTGTGTGTGGGTTAAAGGGGGGGGGGCTAAACCGGCGTGCCACGGGTTCGAGAAGAGATGGACTGGTGTGGTCCAGAAGGACACGGAGCTTCGTGGGTCTTGCCGATGGCCGGTCACAACGGTGTCAAAGATCGGCCTCTGTGGAGGGCGTTCGTGAAGGACGCTGCTGGGCAAGTTGGAGGCGGTCGCCCTCCAACAGCAGCGGGCAACAGTAAGAGCGACGTTCCCTCCTGTTGCGATTTGGCACATTATGGAGCAAAGTCGCTGCATCTGCAAGTCATCTCAAGTCAGTCGACTCACGGCACCTGGGTCTGTGCGGTGACCTCAATGTGCACCTAACGCTGTCGCAATCACCGTGGTGTCGTCGCCACCACTTAGTGGCGGATGGCGGTGGATGTCGTTGTGCGGGTAGCGATGGTGCGCTCACGACTCGGTCACCCAAGGTCCATTCCCGACCACGATATTGACGCACAACGGCAGTGGATCTCGAGTGCCCCGCGCGTGTCTTAGCTGCACCGGTCCCTAAGCCTCGCCGAGGTCGACTCAAGCGTCAACGAGTACTTCGGTACGGTCATAGAGGTCCTCATCCATCAGTGGATTGATCGTGACCGACAATGATAGTGAGGACGTTTCGTAGAGAGAAGAGAGCTGGCAACCGGTATAGAAATTCAGGGTGAAAGAGACCGATATAGAGAGGGAAAGGGGAGATCCGACTGACCAGGGATTGTAAAAGATTTGTCAAATGAACCTCTGTATGGACATTGAATCAATCGCGTCACGTGAGCTCCACTATTCCCGTCTGCCCCCTAAATCCCTCCCCCCCAAAACAACATAAGCACTCTCTCTCTCTTCTTTCTCTCAATCGACTTCCCACCTCTCTCCCCACCGCCGCATCCACCCATTCCCGCTCCTCCCTCGCTCCATTCCCCCTCCCGCCGTTCCCACCTTCAACTCCCTCACTCCTCCCTCTCTCCTCGCCCTCCCATCCCAGCAACCGTTACCCCACCGCCTCACATCCTTCAGCACTCGCAGTTCAGGGTGGTTGGTCGTGAGGAGAGAAAGAGAGAGAGTGGGGCTGGGAGACGGGGAGAGAGAGAGTGAGGGGCTGGGAGACGGGGAGTGAGAGAGAGCGAGAGAGTGGGGGGCTGGGAAACAGGGAGTGGGAGTGAGAGAGAGAGTGGGGGGCTGGGAAACGTGGAGTGGGAGTGAGAGTGGGGGGCTGGGAAACGGGGAGTGGGAGAAGAGGGGCGTGGAACTGCGAAGGAAGAGGACATCGCCGGGTGCGGAGGAGCAGGCGCGGGGGACAGTCGGTGGGCTGCGACTCGAGCGAGGCGGCTCTCACCCGGTGCCTCGCCTCAACGGGTGAGAATTGACATTGAATCTCATTCATTATTACCGTTATTATTGTTTATTGTTACTGTAATTATTGTTATTATTACCGCTATTATTGTTTATGATTACCGCTATTATTGTTTATTGTTACTGTTATTATTGTTTATTGTTAATGTTATTATTATTTTTCATCACTGTTATTATTAATATTATCATATGAGAACCAAAGAGTAATGCATGCCTGTTGTATTTTTGGGAGCGGTGGTGCAGTGGTTGCGACGCACTGTGATGTAAACCCGGGACTCCTGAGTTCATGGCCAGCGGCGCGCTGGACTTGCAATTGCAAAGGTCGCCGGTTCGATCCGATCTCCCGGTGCGGTAGTTGAAGAAAAACAAACTTGGGAAGTTTCTTAACCCCCCCCCCACGCCTCTTGCGAACCGAGCACTGTCAATGAGTGCAGGGGTTGAGTGTGGGTCCAGCCGCTTTTCTTCTCAAAACACGTGGCCAGCGTGGAAGAGTAGGCCAAATACACCCTTGCGCGGGGCTCTCGCGGTGGATCATGGGGAGCGGTGACCGCGACTTGCGTGGGGAGCGGTGGTGCCGTGGTTAGAGCCCTGCGATTTGAACCCGGCCACCTGAGTTCGTGATATAAACGCTGGTCATGGCTACTATCCATTCCACCTTTCACCAACCTTGCACTGACTGACTGACCAGCGTGGTGAAGTATGCTCCTACACCCCTCCACTCCCACTCACCACCATCATTGATACGGCATTGGGAGGCAATCATCCAGCAGTGGATTAACAGAGATCTGTAGAATATTGTTAGGCCTATATGCAGTAGTTGTATCGCCCGTACTAAACTCGCTTGTGTGTGCGTTGAGTGTTGGAAGCGACGGTGTGGTGGCTGGCGCGCTGCGCTACCAACCCGGCGGCCCAGCACGGTTCGATTCTCAGCCCCGGCTACCATCAGTGGCATTATCCAAAGCTGCCCTGGGTCTCCCCTTAGCATTGAATGAGCACCCGGTGCATCCATCGGCACTGGAAAGACAAAGGTGTCCGGGGGGGGTGGGTGCGTGGTGCTTGTCACCCCATGCGGCTCCTCGTGTGTCGCGCTGGCCCTAATAGGTGCTCGCTAACAGCCCTTTGCCCAACAGTCTGTCTAGGCTATACGCTGGCTCAGTGTGTGTATGTGTGGGTACGAGCTTACGTGTTTGACATTTGTGCTTACAAAGTCGTGCTAACCGAGTCCGATTTTCGATATCTGCAGACGCGCTTTCATTTATTGCATGGCCACTTAATTGTTATTATTTTAATGGGACCTTCCAGTGAAGAGTCCTAAATCGTGATATTGAGTCGGCCGTTGGTCGTATTCTTGGCCATATCCCGACGTAAATGTAACCGGCTGTGAAGTCTATCCGCTGATGTCTTTCTCGTACGGGGAACAACAGCTCTCTTCCCGTTTAATTTTTTTGGGAGTCATCGAAAAGTTATTGAGTTGTGTGCTTGCCAGCCGTGGAACTCACCACACCGACGTAATGTTTTTCCGTGCTTGGGATATTTTGAACGTATCGCTATCGCCGTGGCTTTTAAGCAGCATGCGCGGAATTTACAGAGGTCGCGTCTGATTCTCTTCCATTGCCCTTGTCTGTGTGTGCGTATGTCATTTGAGTGGTGTTTCTGTGCGTGGGTGTGCACGAGTGATCGACTCAGCCTCAAATGAGTACCTGGTGCGGTGTGTAAACATCACCACTGGGGAGACAAAGGCGGTCGGGCGTGGTGTTGGCCACCCACCCTCCCCCCCCGTGCCTTGACAGCCTTCATAGGTGCTCGCTAACATCACTTGCCCCAACATTCTGTCCAGGCTATACGGGGGATCTTTGTCTTTGAGTGTTAGTGGTGAGCGGTAGCGTAGTGGTTAGCGGGCTGCGTTACGAACTCGACGACCCGGGTTCGATCCCTATTCAAGGTCAACCCCAGTGAAGATTATCTGAGCTGGTCCTGGGCCTCCCCTAGGTCGACTCAACCTCAAATGAGTACCTGGTGCGGTGTGTAAGCATCGCGCCGGGCGTGGTGTTGGCCACCCACCCCATCGTGTGCCGTGCCGACTTTCATCGGTGATCGCTGTCTGACAGCACTTGCCCCAACACCTCTGTTACAGGCCATACGGGGGGTATTTGTCTTTCTTTGGGGAGTGGCAGTGTAGTGCTTTGCTGCGCTACGCATCTGGCCCAGCGACCCAAGTCCGATTCTCGCTCGCGACCAAACAGAAGTGGAGATTATCTGCATCGGGCCTGGCGGCTCCCATCGGGCGACTCAGCCTTCAGTGAGTGAACATCAGCACTGGGGGAGACAAAGGCGGCCTGTGATTGTCAAATTCTAAACGTTGGCAGGTTTTTTTTAATGCAAATATGAAATCGTCGAAAATTGTACCCGCTTTTTCAACGTGCCGGTGTTGCCGAAGAACAGACGCCCGCCCCTCCAACGACGGACTGCCCAACGTGAAACACCACGGCCAAACATGCCCCTGACGGAGGCAGTCTGCCGGCAACTTGCTGTTGTGGAGGCCCTTCGCCACCAGTGGCGTGAGCAAGCCATCGCGTCTCTGTCGCCAGTTGGAGTCGCGGCAAGAACACGTGCGACCCGACGACGCCTGCGTTCCCACAAACCCGGCAGCCGAACGTTTTCATTGCGGGTGTCAAAGCCAGGCTCAGAATCCAAATCAATTGCGGATCGACGCCCGCAGCTCACCGATCAGTGACCCGGGGAAATGCCCCTCCATAAAGCGGCCTCTATTTGTTTGCTTCCAACTGACCTGTTAAGGCAAATATCAGGGCGATGATTAAAATGCGTGCGTGTGGATGTTTGGGGAGCGGCAGTGTGGTGGTAAGCGCGCTGCGCTTCTAACTCGGCCCGCCCGGGTTCGATCCTTGCTCACGGCCGACAACGGCGACGATTATTTTTAGCCGGTCCTGGGCCTCTCCTAGGTCGACTCAGTCTCAAATGAGTAGCTGGTTCGATGCGTAAACATCGCCACGAGGAAGACAAAGGCGGCCGCCGGGCGTGGTGCTGGCCTCCCACATCCTCCTTCGTGTGCCGTGTCGGCCTTGATTGGTGATCGCATGTAGCACTTGCCCCTACAGTCTTCTGCGGCTATACATACACAAAGAAATCCCCCGTATAGCCTTAACAGAATGTTGGGCTGTTAGCGAGCACCTATGAAGGCCGGCAGGGCCAAACATGCCCCTGACGGAGGCCCAACACCACGCCCGGCCGCCTTTGTCTCCCAGTGGTGATGTTTACACATCCCAACTGGGACTCATTTGAGGCTTAGTCGACCTAGGGGAGTCCCAGCAATGGTTCAGATAATCGTCACCGGTGTTGGCCGTGAGCGGGAATCGAACCCGGGTCGCCAGATTTGCAATGCAGTTCGCTAACCACTACACTACTATTATACATACACAAACTCATGCACACAAAACACACATAAGCACACGCAGACACAAATAGAGATGCAGAAATGTGCACAAAGACAGACACGTATACAAAGATCCCCAGCACTGTAGAGCTTCAACAGACTGTTGGGGAAATTGCTGCTTTCTGCGAGCACCTATGGAGGCCGGCACAGCACACGTGGTGGTGGTGGTGCTGCTGTATGATGTCACACTTCACGTGGCATTAAAGTGCACGTGGCCTGGCACAAGCGCCTTCGTGACGTCACCGCCGCTTCGTGGCGTTTGGTGGTTGTTGTTGGTGCTCTATGCATACAACTAGAGCATCGGGAAGGGTCAGCCTCACGTTTTGAGTCTCGCAGTAAAAACTTCGCTAAAACGCCCAACGGAAAATTCTCCGTGAACTCTCCCAGAGTGTGACGCTGAAGCCGACGTCAAGCAGGCACAGCCCTCTCCTGATGACTGCACGGTCTGTGTGTGTACCTAGGTTCACCTCCTAGCCACGGGTGCACCGCATCAGCGGCACGTTGCTTTATCCGAACCTGTCTTAATCAGTGCCTCCCCTAGGTAGACTCAGCCTTAACAGAGTACCTGATCCAGCTGCGTAAACGTCAGTGTTGGAGAGACAAAGACAACCGGGGCGTGATATCACGGCTGGCCGTACCACCGCGTCTTCATGGGCCGAGCTGGCTTTCCTTAATAGGTGCTCACTAACAACACTCATGCCCCTCTGTGGTGTCTAATGCTGAGGCAAGGTGGGGGGTGCGGGTCAAAGTAATGTGTGTATATTTAGGGTAAGTCCTCCCTTAACGTGTGTTCACACGTGTTTTTACCATAACGCGCGGTTCTTCCAATCGAGAACACTTTTCGCACAACTACGGAACGCGCCCCGCTATAACGCAGAACGCGCACCGCTATAACGCGGTTTCTGAGCCGTCAACGACGAACTACTTTCTTGAGCTGCGTGGCTGAGCAGTGGGATTCATTAGTTTCGGAATGATGCAGTAGCGTGGCGGCGTGCCCTCAGTTATTTGTCCCGCGATCTCACTGCGTGTGCCTGGTAGTACATCGCATCTCGCCAAACTTCATCGTCACAGCATTTATGGGGAAATTGGTGTCGCGAAACGCGGTTTTCGCTTAACGCGGCACTACTCAGGAACGCATCTACCGCGCTAAACGAGGACTTACTCTGTCTAAACGCGGACACGTTTCCCTCCTGCATCGTCAAGGGAATCAGTCACGTCCCACTGACGCTTCTGCCCTTTCATTACGAATCTGTGTATTTAATTATTGGGGAAGTTGTTAAACGTGGACCAAAAAAAATCTAATTGTTTTCGGAAGCGGGAACCTGTTTATCAGCGCACGAGAGGCACTACCCCGCAGGATTGCATTTTATTCACACGCACACGACAAAATTGATGAAATGCACCCATTTTTTTGGGGGGGGGCCTTGAAAGGGAGGGTTGGTGATGGTTACGGACAGAGCAGGTTCCTATCACCGCTGTTCCGCGGGCCTGGCTTTAATGAGGATTAGGGTGGACGAGCCGAGACGAAGGGGATGTGACGGCGCCTTGAGCG